GCAGCTGGTAGTTTCGAACGGCTGACCTTAAGGTTCGCAGCCCGATTCGTAACCACTACGCTACCTTAGGAAATTAGCGATATTATTCTGAAAACATGAATAATGGGTGTATCCGTTTAGCTATAGGATTGCTTTCTGGCTTTGCAATCTCTAGCTGACTGTGATACATCACATTCTTTGTTAATGATTTATGTTTTCACAAGACTTTCTCTTCTATTTTTGTGGGATGTAGTAGATTTTATTTTTTATAACTTTTTCTCAACGCTAACACTATATGCTTGGTTGCCTTATGATCCTTTTTGTTCATAATCTTTAAATATTTTTCCTCTAGTCTTAATTGGAGAGCGCATTGACTCCATACCATAATTACTGACTACGAACCACAAGGTCCCTATTATAGCTGTCCGTCGCTCCACAGGAGAAAGATGAGGCTTTCTTCTCTTGCCAAGTTTGGTGGTGGTGGTGGCTATGTGTCATCGGAATCCGACTCATAGTGACCCTGTACAGGGTTTCCGAGGCTATAAATCTTTACTGGAGCAGAAAGCCTCATCTTTCTCCCCCTGAACAGCTGGTAGTTTCGAACTGCTGACCTTAAGGTTCGCAGCCTGATTCGTAATCACTATGCTACCAGAGCTCCTTTCTCGGAAACCCTATATGGGGTCTCTATGAGTGGATACCTACTCGGCAGCACTTAACACAATGTTTTCATTTTCACCAGACCCTACGTAACAAACCCGTGATTCTTTCCTCTTCTGAACGAAAGGTTCGTGCCCAACGTGGACCCAATGCAGGCATCTCTTCTGTGAAAACTCTGACTCATTGATTCACAGCTGCTGCCTCTCCCTTTGTGCCATCACACAATCTAGTACAATTTACTACATGTTGAGTGGGTTTCAAATGCCGACCTTGTGGTTTGCAGTTCACTGTTGATCGTATAGTCCCACACCAGAAGTCCAGCATGAGTGTCACCAGCCGCTTCTCAGAAACTCTATACAGGGTCACCATGAGTTGGAAGGATTCAACAGCACTTAAAACAGCAACAACCATACCTAAGAATGAATCCTTTTACCATTATCAATGAAGACAGACAATATATATCCTCATTAATAGTGGTGGAGTGATTCATTCCGTCTAAAGTGGTTGTAAGTGCCATCTAGTTGGTTCTAACTCATAGTGACCCTATATAGAGTTTCCAAGGAGTGGCTGGTGGGCTTGGACCATTGACCTAGCAGTTAGCAGTCCAGTGTGTATCCTGCAACACCACATCAGGACTCTTCCAAAAGAGTTTAAGATTGAATTCTTATAGTAACCTGCCCACTATAGCCTCCATGTGCTATTTATTTTCTGTGCCTTGTTCCTTTCTGCTAAAATATTTGTTTCCCATCCTAAAGTCTTCCAGTTTCTATCTACTATCTTTATTCTTTACTTTATAACCAAGCTCCCCAAAACAGCATCTGTGAGTCCTGTCTATTTTTTTGCTTTACATTAATTGTTTAATCCACTGCAATCTAGCTCTCAGCCTCACCACACACACACACACACACACACACACACACACACACACACACTTTTACTAAGGTCATCAGTGAACCAATTGCAGCACTGAACCAAATTGAACGGACCCTTCCCATTTCTCATACTGCTTATCCTCTCTGTTGTACCTAATCTCTTAACTGCTTTTTCTTGAAAAACTCTTGGCTTCCTTCTAATTCTCTGGTCATTTCTCATCTTCTCAGGTTCTTCAAACTGCCCACTAATTAAATGTTGATGTTCCTCATTGTCAGCTTTTCTAGTATTGTCTTCCTGACTGAACTCATCTTGGGTGACATCAGCTCACTTCTCTATTTTTGAGCTCCACATTCACGTATTCATTTAATTACTGGTTATTATCCTTGGACATTCCACAGAAAAACTAAATATCCAAATAACTCAGTCTTCCCTTCATACTAATGCTTTCTCCTATATTCTCTTTCTTGTGAGCATTGATATCAGAGAAATCTGAAAACTGTTCCCAACTCCTCTTTTCTTCTAATACACTGTCACCATATCCTTTTGTTTATATATGAAATTTGCTTTCTCCTTTTCAGCCCTTCATTCAAGTTCTCATCGTGTCATCTGTAATATTCAACACTCATCTTATTGATCATCATGTCTGCATTCTAACCTTGCAGTTCCTCCATCCTTCACACTTCTTCAAGGTTAATCTTCTCAAAACAATATTTTCACCCTTTTACTTACTTGACCAAGAAGTTCAATGGCTCCCTATTAACAATGAACTATGGCTCATCTCTCTGTGAAACCCTATCTCAACTATTTCCCTACACAAACCTTCTTCAGTCAAACTTGGTTACGCCCTGCTGCCTTTTTGTCTCACACCACTTATCAAACTTGGAACTTTTAAGGCCCACCTTATATATTCTATTTCTAAGAACACTCTTGTTGTTAAGTGCTGTCAAGTTGGTTCTGATCCATAGTGACCCTGTATAGGGTTTCCAAGGAGCAGCTGATGAGCTTCAACTACCAACCTTGTGGTTCAAACCAACTTTGCAGTTCAGTGCATTAGCCCACAGAGCCACACCAGAACACTCTAGTCCACAGTAATAATAACCAGCAATGTCAGAGCACATTGCTGTTTTCAAAGTATGTCTGTCTGAGAAGTCAGCATTACCAGCTCCATTTTATGAGCAAAAACAGGCACAGAGAAGGTGAATGATTTGCCAAAGACTACAGAGGAAGTAAAAGAAAGAAACTAGGCCTAACCATTAGTCTTCACTTACCAGATGCCCTGCTTTGACTTCAGTGACCACTCCCTCTCTGACCTCACAGAATTAAGTTGTTCATCACTGCTTCAACCCTTAATCACAGACTGCCTGTGACCAGCGGAAAGAGGGACCTTGAAGTTGGGGGCAAGGTCTAAGAAGAGATCGTTCTCTGTTTGAAATCAAAACTGACCAGTAAAAACCATAAGGGATGAACTATGCTACCTGGAAACTAGTGTTGGAAGATGGTCTGTGAATGAAGGTAAGCTGGGCAGAGCCTTGGGAATGGAAGATAACCATCTCTCGTCTTGCAACTAGCGCAAGGACCAAGACTATTGAGGGGGAGAGAGTAGAGTTCAGAGTTATGTTTCTGGATAATTTCCCAGGTTCCTCTATTATTGTTGTTAAGTGTCGTTGAGTTAGTTCTGACTCATAGCGACCCTGTATAGGGTTTCCGAGGAGTGGCTGGTGAATTTGCACTGCTGACCTTGCAGTTCTAGCTGACGTTATGGTTGAGTATCCTACAGCACCACACCAGGACTAAATCCTGTTTCTCAGGCCACCTGAATGAATGGGAAACCTCACTGAGTGGAGCCAGCACTCTGGGTTGGGTTCTGTGCTAGAGGGAGTGCTCTAAACGGTTGCTTGACTTGGATTTCTAGCCAGCTCCCTCTTCTTCAAGAAGCCCTGGTGGCCTGTGGGTTAGAAATTGGGCTGCTAACCTCGAGCTCAGCATTTCAAACCTACCAGTCTCTTCATGGGAGAAAGATGAGGCTGTCTGCTCCTGTAAACATTTAGTCTCAGAAACTCTGTCTAGGGTTGCTATGAGCAGGGTTTGCCTGGTTTGTTCACTTTACTTCACAAAGTAATTATGCGGCTTAGTCATGTGCTCTTGTGGGGTCAGTGGCGTCTTGGCTGACCATCTCTGAAAGCAGACCCAGCTACATTCTATATCAGCGAAGCTGAGGAGCAAGCAGACATGAGTCACAAGATGACCTTTTCCTCCCTGGCAGGCATGACCCCTGAGAGGCCTCCTCTGTGACATCTCTCCTGAAGTGGAGCATGGTCTGTGACATCTCAGGAATCTGGGCTGTGTGTGTGTGTCCAATAGAGGGGAAAGGCCTCAGCAAGTATCTATGAAGTGAGCATATGGGAAATGAGGCCAGGCACTAACCTGGAGAGGCAGGTAACTGGGGTGATGACCTTTTGGTTGACTCAGGCCTCTCTGCAGATGGCCTCAG